CCTCCGGGCCGCAGCGACGACGAGCGGGTGCGTAGCACGACGCCCGGCGGTGGGAAGGGCTGGCCCAAGGCAACGCGGCGCTCCCGTGAAGCCTGGACCAGAACCCAGGACAGCGCTGTACCCCTTTCCCTAACGGAGCGCAGAGACCCTGTCTCTTCCCTCGCCCATGCATGAGACTTAGCTCATCATTGGTGATTGTACTCAAATAGCCATCCTCTTTGGTTAGGACTATGCAACTAAAGTACTGTGACCCTTGAAGGGGATTGGACGGACAGTTTGCTAATAGTGAAAATCAGCTATCTGGGGCCCTGCAGGGATAGGACCAAGCAAATAAAGGTGTATGCAACTTAAAGAGGAGATTGGTCAGTTTTGCCATCACTAGCCTTAAAATGCGCCATTCCAGAGACAGACCGGAGGGTTCTGACCAGCAGCAAGACGAGATTAGAGTGGAGCGAATGTTTGGACCCGTACTGGAAACCATCTAGACCTACATCACCCAAGACAGCAAGACCGTGAGGAGCAGCAATAGAGAAGCAGGCAGCAGCACCAGGGGACTAACAAAAACGAAAGTGCCGATCATCTTTGTGCTAGCGGGTAGAGGAGGATGAGTACCTCCAGGCACTTAGAAAAAACTCACAGTCCTTGAGTCAATAATGACTCAGCACTTAATGGTGAAAGCCAATAAAGCTGTACTGACCTTAGCAAGACAAAGGCTAGGTTCCAGTGGAGCAGAAGACAGGAACTAGGCAAAGAAGTGAGACTACCTGCAGGCATGGCCAACCAAAAGCTGAGGTGGTCTTGGTTGACAACTCACTGCTCTGGAATAGATTCTGACTCATAGCCTGGGATAGGAAGCTGTCAATCTTTATGGGAGTAGAAAGCCTTGTCTTTCTCCTGTAGAGCACCTGGTCGTTTTGAACTGCTTACTTTGTGGCTAGCAGCCTCCTTTGCCTGGTTAGAGTTGGAAGCTGTTCTAATTGACAAGCTGTCTTCTGAAGTGTTCCTGTTACTTCTGAGTTGATCCTGATTATAACCTATTACTTCCCTAATAAACCCCATAAATGTGAGAGTAGTCTGAGTTCTGTGATAATTGCAACAAGTTATTAAGCCCAGCAGAGAAGTAGACAGTGCGGTGCAGAGGACCCTTGGTGTCAGACTGGTAATGTTTTCAAGCTTAAATTCTGAGCACCCTGGTTTGCAAAAAGGGATAAATGGCAGTGAAAGCCTGAAATCCAGTTGCCAAGTCCCCACATGAATGAAGGTTTCTGTCATTAACCAAGGACGCAGATAATCTTACCCTCAGGCAGAGTGTCTTAGAAAGTGGATTGCTTCCACCCCTCTCTGGTCAATCTCTTCAGGGCTTGCCTAGGTGTGACCTTGATGGAGGTCACAATACTGAGGATGATAAGGTTTGGGGGGTCACATAGCTGTGAGTCATGCCCTATCATTTTTCCCCTGGCTGCCTTGGTCGGATGGCCCTGGGCCAATCTTGTCAGCCCTTCTACCTAACAATGTTCGGGTCCCAATCATGGTCTTTCGTTCCTGCTTCTGTGGTTCCACCTGTAATTGTGACACATTGATCTGCCACTGATCATGCTTAGCATTTCCTTTGCCCACCCATGCCCTCTTTGAAGCATGGCATCTCCAGGAACCCTGGGTCATCATTTTCATCCAGATGATGGGTCTGTGACTTGTATATTTTAAGAATTAATAAATGTTCTGTTGACATTATCGTCGAGGTCTCTTTTGTACCTTAGAAGAATAAAACGATTGGGAATCGGAGGCATGTCTGACTCCCACCCCAAGGTACCGTTGGGGTGTTGTTTCTTCTCATTCCCCCCCTGCAGTAAGGTGGTTTCTGACACTGCTACTCCCCTTTTGACAACCATTCCCTTTCTTTTTTTTTTTTTTAATCTGCATGCTGATCGGTCTTTTTTTTTTTTAACATTTTATTAGGGGCTCATACAACTGTTATCCCAATCCATACACACATCAATTGTGTAAAGCGCATTTGTACATCGTTTCTCAAAACATTTTCTCTCCATTTAAACCCCGACATTAGGTCCTCATTTTTCCCCTCCCTCCCCGCTCCCCCCTCCCGCATGAGCCCTTGTCCCTTTCTTAAAACACAGGGGGATCCCCCTAGTGACTCAGTGGGCTTACTATTGGGCCCTAACTGGAAAGTCAGTGGTTCAAAACTATCAGCCTCGGTTGGGAGAAAGCTAAAGCAGCCTGCTTCCATAAAGAGTGTTAGCTCTGGAAGTCCTTGGGGGAAGTTCTGCTCTGCCCTAGGGGGTCTCTGTGAGTGGGATCCATTCGACCATAGTGAGTGGTTTCCTTAAACATGTGTGGTAGGCAGCCCCTTCCTCTGACTGTCCTCCAACCTCAAAGGTGGCCCCACGATCTCCGTTCTGGGTCTTCCTCCTCTCCATTTCAGAAGGCCTTAGTCTTATGTCCTCTGCGTTACTCTGCTTAGGCTTTGTCCCTGAGAGGGCCTATCCATGCTCATAGACTTTAACACCATCTGGAGGCCAATGGCCCCACATTTATAGCTTCAGTGCTGACCTCTCCATGGAGCTCCAATTGTTTGACCTCTCTTATTGGAATTGCCACTCGTAAGGTTTTCAAAAGCTAGTTCCTCAGAAGTAGACAGCCTAGCTCTTCTTTGGAGTCTGCTCTTAGTTTGAACGCTCCGCTGAAACCTGTTCCCCGTGGGTTGACCTGTTAGCATTTCAAATACCAGTGACATAACTTCCAGCATCACAACAGCATGTAAGCCACCGCAGTCGGACACACTGCCCGGCAAGTGGTGGCTTGTCTGACACTTGCTCGTGAGTAGCTAAAGCAAATGGAAGAAATGATGAAGTAAAAAGAACTAAATCAAAAATTTCAAAGGTCAGTTTGAGAAGACAGAGTTTTGTAATGAAATGTGCAAAGACCTGGAGTTAGAAAACCAAAAGGGAAGAACAGGCTCATGTCTTAAAGCTGAAAGAACTAAAAGGGGGAAAATTCAAACCCCAAGTTGTAATACTAAAAGATGATGCAGACAAACCATTGAGCAGTGCAGGAGGCATCAAGTGAAGCTGGAGGGGAGGGGGAGTGAGTCACTCGTTGCACCAAAAAGAACGAACGGCTATGAAATCATTTCAAGAGGTAGCATATGATTGATGTTCCTGAAGGAAGTTCAAACTTCATTGAAGACATTAGCAATAAACCAGGCTTCAGGAATTGACAGAATACCAATGGAAATGTTTCAAGATGCTGAGAAAGTACTGGAAGCATTCACCCATCTGCACCAAGAAATTTGGAAGACAGGTACCTGGCCAACCAACTGGAAGAGATCCCTGTTTGTGCCCATTCCAAAGAAAGGTAGCCCAATTGAACGCACAAATTGTAGAATATCGTGATTAATAGCACATGCAAGTAAAAATTTGTGAGAGATCATTCAACAATGATAAAACAACAGTATAAAAAAACAACAGTGCATTGACAGGAAGCTGCCAGCAATTCAAGCTGGATTCAAAAGACGTGGAAGAGATGTCATTGCTGATGTTAGATTTGGCTGAAAGCAGAGAAATAAGAAAAATGTTTCTTTCTTTGGTTGACCATGAGAACACATTTGTCTATGTGAATCATAACAAACTATGGATCGCATTGAGCAGAATGGGAATTCCAGAACACTGTGCTCATGTGGAACCTGTACGTGGACAAGAGGCAATTGTTCCAACAGAACAAGGGGATGTTGCCTGGCTAAAAAACCAGGAAAGGTGTGTGTCAAGGTTGTGTTCTCATACCATACTTACTCACTCTGTGTGCTGAGCCATAGATCGAGAAGTGGACTCTAGAAAACTCAGCATTAGGGGTGGAGGAAGACTTGTGAACAGCCTGCTGTGTGCAGATCACCCAACCTTGTTTGCTGAAAGTGAAAGGCCTTGATCACTTGCTGATGATGATCAATTGCAGCGTTCAACGTGGATTGTAACTCAATATAAAGAAAACCAAACTCCTCACAACTGGACCAATAAATAACATCACGATGAGCAGAGAAAACATTGAAGTTGTGAAAGCTTTCATCCTGCTGGGATCCACAATCAGTGCTCATGGAAGCAGCAGTCAAGAGATCAGACAATGCATTGCATTGGGTCCGTCTGCGGCATACGATTTCTTCAAAGTGTTGAAGAGCAAGGATATTACTATGAAGACGCAGGTGTGTCTGAACCAGGCCAAGGTATTTTCAGTGGCATCATGTGCGTGTGAAAGTTGCACATTGAATAAGGAAGACCAGAGAAAAACAGATGCATTTGAATTGTGATGCTGGCAAAGAATATCGACAATGCCCTGACTGCCAGAGACCAGGCCCTGGAGAAAGACATCGTGCTTGGGAAAACAGAGGAAGGTCCTCAATGAAGTGAATTGATGGGCAGCAATGTGGCAGCAAGGATGGGCT